TATATATAAGCTCAATTTGCCTTGTCTGGTGTGGTCATACATGTTTGGTATGCCTGTGTGGGTACCTGCACATGGTGTGGGGACACCTGTGCCGGCGTCCGTAACAGATAACTTTTATTCTGTATTCTCCTCCACTTCTGAACATAGAGGCCAATATTTAGCTCACTCTGCAGGTGGAGATTGAGTGTAAACCAGAAACTTGTGTAGCCCCTACCTGTTAGGGCAATTACAGTCATTTTCTACTGTTTAACCAGTTGACATCCGCGGTGTTAAACCCCCTTCCCATCCAGGCCATTTTTCAGTATTCAGCGCTGCGGTACTTTGACTGACATTTATTCCGTCATGCAGCGCTGTACTGAAATGAATTTTATACCCTTTTTTGGGGACATGCTATGGACCCGCCGATCGCCTATATGTGAAACACCCGGTAACGGGTGTGTGCATTTAGCGGGTCTTTTCTGCCCGTGCGTGCCCGCTAGGGGGCGCGCGCGAGCAGAAAAAAATTGCCGTCTGGAGACGGCAACCCGCAGATGCTGCAGTGCCGTCCGTCCGTTTTTTTACTACGGGCGGACGGCAAGAGGTTAAAGCAGAACTTTTTGTTATGCAAACACTCTGAAATTGCAAGCTAAAAATACTTACAATAGAATGTGCTTTTGATCAGAAGGTCTCCCAACTGCTGTGCAAGCACAGTGCAAGACATGAGATTCTCTATGACCTGTTGGCTTCAGCTCTGCAAGCTTCACAGCTTAAACGTCATAGGATTTCCACACCTTCCTCTAAGTATGTCATTATGCACCTACATTGCAAAAGCGGTAGAGACCATTACTGTACAGAACAGTGTGCTCCTCCTGGTTCTACATTTTTCCAAATGATGGCTAATAGTAAAAAAGGAAAGGGGGAGGGCTGGGTGGGAATAGATTTCACCCTATTATACTTTCGGCAAAGAAAAAAAACAAGTTCCTACAGAGAATTGCCTGTGAGGGAATAATTACTTCCCTCAGATGGAGACACACCAAAATAGTTAATGCAAAAGGTAACACATATTTGGTATGCATGTACAGTTTTTAACTTGCAATGTCAGGCTGTTTCTTTAAAACAGATACCTTGGTTTCCGTTAACAATTACCCAGTAACTAGCCCTAGAGGTGCTGTTACTGCTATCCCACCTCATTACATAACGCGCCACCAGAATATATAGAGAAGTCACTTTTGATGATAATATTGACTTGGATTAAAAAGTCACAGTTGTGAAGTAGATAAAAGGACATGCCACCCCACAGGGCCCTGAAGGAATTTAAAGTCTAGTGAAGATTGGTGCTTTCCTCACGCCACTCAACATGGAAAAAAAAGCAATTTTGGGTGACGTTGCTCTTTAAAGCAAATAAACAAGCAGATAAATAAAATCAAGTGAACCACAAAACAGACTTACTTGTACAAGCCATGGCTGGGGGGTCTTTCTCTGCTCGGAAGTAACCCTTTTCACACTGGCAGACAGTCGTAGCCTCGACATATGTGAAACTGTGCGGAGGGCATTTGGAGCACTTGATATTCCCAGCAAATGCCTTGTAGAATCCAGGCCGACATGCTGCAAGACACAAGACAAGGCGGTCAATGCTGGCCTTCACACTTTCCATTTATTTCATCTGTCATTCTGCGGTGACAGTGAGAAATCCTGCTCAGGAGCTCTGTGTGACCGCAAGCAAGTCACTTTATCTCCCCGCTTCTCCGACAGCACAATTAGATTGTAAATCCTTGCAGCAAGCACTTTATTATGTCTGTTTTCCTATACTGACAGTTAGTAATTGTAAAAATGATCATACTGAACTCAGGCTAGACCTAAAAGGAATCTGGGATCATGTTTACATTGCCTTGTCCATTGTTCTTCTGTGACTGAGTAAAAGAATGTCAATAATATACATACTAGGAATAGTAGACAAATACATTAATGTAACATACAGTATAAACATTCTGATCACTAGCTGTACTTCAGGTCACTAAATTACCTTCTGTGTTAGCAAAGCACAACCTCTGAACTGTCGCATGACATTTTATAGGAATGCAGCTATTATGTTTAGCATATCTATAGGTAAAACTTTTTTCCCTTTTGGATAGCGTAGGGTTAGTATATTTTTTGATGTTGGTGTCCATATGTCACTTTCTGCCATAAATATGGAACAAGCAATGAGAGGAAATCTCTATAAAGGGAGAGGAATTCCCCTCTTAGACAGCTGTGTCCCCACTGGAAGATCTTCCTTCACCTCCTGTTCTGGTGACAGCTGTACAATTTTGGTATCCCATCACTTTTTGTCACTGTGATAATGGTCACCAGGACAAACAGGTAGGGTTACTTTACCCAGCAGGAACACAGATTAAATACAATGAATAAACATCCTTTTTCAGGCAAATACCACCTGAGGATCTCAGTGAGTGAAAATGGAAGTTTCTGATTTGGCAAATGGTAAAATTTATAATTATGCAGCTAAATACATTTAGCAAAGATCACTTAGCTTACCGCCTTATAAAAACAGATGCACCTAATTGACTTACAATACAATATATTTGGGCTAATCTGAAGAACGAGTCAAACTGGACTGCATATAGAACACAATAAGATATTATACTATGACAACACGCTGTTAGATGATATTATAAAATTGGATGATTCATTCCAACCAGGCCATATCTCAGTTCTGTCATGCAAGTCATCTTTGTTCTTTATGTGTTAGATATATTGGAATAATGGTCTTGGAGGAGACCCCGGATAGAAAGATATGTATATAATCATCCAGTGGTGAAAGTAGCATCAGCATGGGACTTGCATCTGGAGCCACATCAGCTTAGTATTATCAAGAACCTCAATGTTACTAATGACATCTGTTGACATCTAAATTCATATGTTTCTGATAGATTCCAACATCCAGTCTATGAACATGAATCATAATAAAAATTGTTATTCTTATATATATAAGAATGATAAATAGAAAGGGGGCAGGAAATTCAAATACTGTACTACCTATTACTATACTGCCTTACAGAAGGGTACTATTAAAGCAGATCTAAACCCAATTGCTAAAACCCCATATAAGGTTTAACATCTTAATGTCATTACAAAATTTTGAATTTTATTTTTGAAATTTTGAAATTTATTGAATTTTATTAAATTTACAGCTTTTATTAAATCATACTTGGTAATCCTATTTCTACCATAAATAGGCCCTTATTCAGAAACACCCTATTATGGGATGACATTTTTCTCCTATCTGTGCTCCTGCATTGTCATCCTGTCACATGCACCCTGGTGGAGAATAAAAGAAGCTGTGTTGACACTGTTATCACTATCAGAATGCCAGTTTAAAGTAATGATGTACAGCGGGCACTGAAGAAAGTGCTATGCAGAAAAGAAGAGTGAAACAAAAGGTGAACTGTGATAAATGACAGTGCTTTAGCAAACAAATTCACCAAATTGAACTTTGAATACAACTTTGGGGGATGCCTGCTGGAGCATGCAATGAGGTACTTGGGGTAATGAGGTAAGACATGTGCACTGCCAAAAAATTTGTTTAGTTTCGTTTCGTTTGGATTCGGATTTGTATTATTTCGTTTTTCGGGATTCGGGTGTGAAAGTCAATTCGGATTCCGACGAAATCCGTTAGCGGTAGTTCGTTCGAAAGTTTGTTTTGTTTCTTATTCGTTTCGTTCATTTGCAGCAAAGTGACATTTGAGGGGGAAAACAAATGAAACGAAAACGAAACGAACGTTCGAACGAACTACCGCTAACGAATTTCGGAAACGGAAATTCAGATTCGTTTGCATTCGTTTTATCTGTAATTCGGAATTCGGATACAACCGAATGTCCGAATTTCCGAAAATTCGTCCGAATTTCGATTCGGAACGAGACGAATCGCACATGTCTAGTAAGTACTGTAACTCAGCTTCTACCCCGTAGACTTAATAAATAGTTACCCTTTGTGGTGCGGGGGGAAAGAGGGCACTGCTAGGGTATTTTTTTTTAATTCAGCTTTAAAATCCAGCTTTTAGTCATGCTTCCTTTATAATTTATGTACTACTGTTTATTAGATATTCAACCCTTCTGCATCACTAAGCCTCATCCAATTTGCATATGGCAGCAACTAGGTTTGAGTTAAGGTACCCACAAATACAGGATGTCTCCTGGACTGTTTGAAAACAGTCGTATCACAAAAAGATTCTTGTGATAGATTTTTGTCTATAGAATACTTCTGAACTGTGCAGATAACCCTGTGTGGCATTGTGAGGCAATACCACGGTGTTAGGTGGCCTCAAAGTCACCCAGGGTTCTCAGCCAGAGGGGCTGAGTGGCTCCAGGAAAACAGTACGTGTACCAGGAGATTTCTTAGAGCTCTGGGTGGGATGAAATCTCCATTCCTGGGTCCATGCTTTGGTAGTGACCAGCACCTGATTGTGCACCTGTGTACATCCTTCATGAAGAGTGTGCTGGGATGTGTTCAGGGCCCCACCTGTGAGTCAGGAGAGCTCCACCCTGGAGTCAGTGTGGAGGCCAGTGCAGCAGGGAGCTGCGGGTTTGTGAACCATATTGAGAGGATTGGCATGTTATTGCCGTTGTCTGGAGGAACCAGACAGTGGCCCTAAAGATTGAGACCGGAGCAGCAGTGTGGCAAGAGAGACAGATGTCGGTGAGCCCTTATCTGTTATATGCTACAGCAAGCTATTTATGTTGGATTTCATGTTATCTACCGTTTTGAAAGCAAATAAACTGCATCTGACTTGCACCTCCGGTCTACAGTGGAGTGTCCTTGTTACACCTGGCTGATCGATCTGATCGCTATGAATAGAGGTGTCTGCACAGTGCTTTCATGCTGCATGTGTAGAACTGATTGGTATACCAGTGCAAGCAAGCATTTTTATACCTTGACTATTCTCACATATTTTCTGCCACCTGGACCTTTGAAACAACAATCTATTGTTACTTTCAAAATAGATACATCTAAACCTTCTAATCTACCAGTACTGCCATGGCAAAGCTAACTGTATGGAGACACTAGAGTAGTCTATAAACATGACATTTTCTAAACACATTACAGTAATACTAGTAATATGTATGATATCTGTGAAGGTTCTAATTCAGTACTAATGAGTATAAGGAATATAACCCAGCATTTAAAGCCACATGGGTAACACCTTAATAAAATCACCATGGAATGTGCCAAAGCAGATGTTGACTTCCCAAGAACAAGATCGGAGGTATGGTGTGAGAGTTCTGGAAACACTCTGTTCTAATTACACACTCCCCCTCTTAGTGCCAGGAAGTCTGCATAGGTGTGAAACATTCAATCTACATGGCTAAAGGTGTGAATTGCATCAAACTGCCAGAATATATGTTAAAATGGCATTATATGTGAAAGATAGAGGACATCTGATGTGCAAGACGTGTGAAAGCGGCTATCTATGTCAAACATCCCTAAACAGAGGTAAGGGCCTTTGACACCAACTGTCTTCCACATATAACGCCATCTTTTTATCTCTATCCTGGCGATTTGACAAGAAATCACACCTTCAGTCATGTAAATTAAAGGATTCTGTTGTGATTAGATCAAGGTGTACCATGTAGCTATAAATGTTGGTGCATGTTCCTGACACTCATTAAAACTGAAAAAGCATCTTGGGTAAGCTGTGAAACAACTTCTACATTACAGAACAAGTTCAGTTGAAGGCTACAGCATACTACTAGTAAAATACTGTATATAATGTTACAGCACAGTTAAAAATTTTTTACCATTCTACAAAGACAATGATGCAGCTACTGGGACAATATGATAGTAACATCAAGTTATGTGTGTGCTGATATCCAGCACTTTAATGTTATTTCTTGTATTTATCCCTTCTCTGATACACTGCTGTTCCCTGAGCATCTAACAATGTGTAAATAAAAGTCAGTATGCAGCTATGTCATCAGCCATTACTTCTCCAGGAAATACTATAGTGACTATAAAGGAATGAAGAGCCTCTCTCAAATTAATTTCTCTACTCCAGAAGAATCACAAATCCCCCCCCAAGGATTACATGGTTTTAAAGATAATCCTTGAATGTGTTACATATTCAACTGTATTATTTCAAATGATACAAATTGCATTTTACAAGCAAAGGGCATTTTCTAAAGAAAGTAATCCTTCAGAAATCCAGGCACTTCACCATTAGTCTATTCATTGAGTCAGGTACTCAGCAGCTCAAATCAAATCAATAACCATTCTCAAAAATGCCTTTTACTGTCAATTGGTGCACAATTTCTCAACAGTGGTAATGTTTATTTAATCACCTACACATTATTATCTGGCACGCAATTAGTTATAAAATTACAATACGGTGTAGAATTAATGTGACAAACTTAAACATATGGCTGAATTCTGGCTGTTTTGATTATAAAATGTTAACAATATATGTCAAATAAAATGAAAGCTATGCAAACTGTTTTGGAAGCAGACTACAGTTTTGCCTAAAGAAATACACTGCCTGGCCAA